ATGCCACTGTTGTAGAATGGGACTGTCCTTAGGGTTGGGGAGAGACTGAGTAAGATGGGTTCAATAATGTATACTGCACTGAAACAGAGGAGGGAGAGAACTGTTTAAAAGAGAGATATAACTGGGTATTTCTGTCATCACAGGAGACTAGAGCGAGGGCTACATGGTGGAGGGGACCTGGGGGAGGGTTTGTAAAACAATGAAAGAATCTTTTCTTTTACTTTTCCATAATTTTTGACTCATGAACTTATAACTTGTTAGTCAAAATTGTGTCTTCTAGGTTGCAACACCCCCATGATACATCTTCAAGGATATGAACATGTACAGCCAAGCACAATCAATAAGAGTGCATCTGAATTCCAAAATCAATCTCCATAATAGTCTATGTGTTTCCTACTGCCAAAGGGGCCCTTTAGAGTAGTGAGAGAAGATCTTCACCCTGAAACCCACAGCGTCCCTTTTCAGCAGGAAGTAGCTAAGAGAATACGCCATCCCCTTTTCCTTATAACTCAGGGTGAAGTCTCTCTCAGGGAGGAGTGATAGGGAATGGCAAAGGATACACTGACAAAGAAGATTAATCAGAACTGGCTTTGACAAGCACTGTGGCATTTGGACAAGAACAAACTGGGAGGAGGGTAGAGAGAATAGTACAACAATGAATGAATGGAAACCCAAAATCTCTGTAAATGTTTATGAAAATTAATAAAATATAATTATAGAAAAAAAATAGAATAGTAATTATAGTGAGTAACGTACTTAGTTCTAATGTACAACCAAATCCTAACGTATATTGTATTTTCTCTCATACAACTTATCTATTAGTGAGATGGCTTATTCTAAACCTAGTAAGATAACCAAATTGATCATCCCCTAATAAGCCTTCCAAAAACTTTGGTTTACTTCACAGTCCCATCACAAGGATGTCTTACTGCTTACTCCTTGTTTGCGTGGTCAACAACCTGGCCAATCCCTTTGGTGAGTAACAGAAACTTACTTGTATGGTCTCACCCAATCATTTGATGAGAGTTACAAGACTGTGGAGAGGCAGTTCGTTAGAAAACAACCTGCCCTGGTATATTCTTTAATTATTCTTTGTAAAGAAAAAGAAGAACCTAGGAAGAGAGCTTGAGAATAAGCTGATACAGGTATTTCACATCAGAAAGTTCTACGTGTTAACCTGCAGCTCTTGTTGGAAGGACTGGAGTGACATCAGGTCTTTTGACTCATTCACTGTCATGTCCCAGGCTGTGTGGGAACTATGAATTTTCCCTTTGAGTTATCCTGTAGTCAGGATAATTTTAATTTTGTCCTGGAGAGGGTGAAAACAGGCTGCTCCTTGGAGGCAAGGATTCTAAAGCTTCATCTGACCTACTTTGGGCATGTTGCAAGGAGGGACTGGTCCTTGGAGAGGGACGTCATGCTTGGGAGGGTGGAGGGACAGCACAGGAGGGGAAGACCCTCTATGAGGTGGATTGATTCAGGGACTGGGGTAATAGGAACAAGTGTGTCGAAAACAGTGAGACTGGCACAGGATAGAGCAGGGTTTCGGGCTGTTTTACATAAGGTCGCTATGAGTTGCAGGTGACTCTACGGCACATAACAACAACAGCAGCAACAACATTTTTCCTTCCCCTTATCTATTTCTTGACACTTGGCAAGGGATATAGATGCGCTGTTATCTTGTGCATCCAATCATAACTCTAATTCTTCCCCACTGATGAGCCTCAAAGACGCCCATGCACAGGCTGCTTCTCTGTGGCAATGAGGCTTCTTCACAAAGCAGGAGTTGCCTTCAGGGGTGAGGACCTTTCTGTAGGGAGGCTGGACTCCATTTCTACCTTTTGATCATCCAATTGACCTTGCTGATTCTGAATTAGTAGCTCTTTGATCTCAGTATTGCCTCTATTTCCCTACTGTTGCGATTGTGGTGGATTCTGACCTTAGTTTGCAAAGACATTACTTTCCATGGAGCGACCTCTGCTAACTTGCCACCTCTCTCTTCCAGCTGAGGAAAACATGGGATTCTGGAACTCCAGAAAGAAGCCCTGGCCTGCTTATCTTTCAGAGGAGCTCACATGACTGTCTCTCTCCAAGACAACCCGGTGCTTGTGTTGAGTCTGCAGTCACAGAACACAACCAAGAACAGGTCATGAAAGACGGAGGTCCTTTGAGGGGCCTCTGCTGTGTTTTTTTCTTCTTTTTTATAAATTTTATTTTATTGGTTTTTTTCTGTGTGTACCGTCAAATCAGATCTGACTGGTACAGGAGGAGATTGACCCTTTTTCTCCAGTAGAGCATCTGGTGGTTTCAAACTGCTTGCCTCTGGGATTGCAGTGCAGCTTCTTGCCACTAGGCCACCAGAGAGAGCTCCCTTTCTGCTCTGTTTTGGGCAGTGTTAAGGATGTTCCTTCACCAAGAGCCTCCTAGTTTCTCCCTCTTTTAAGATAAAAATTGTGGAGAGGCTCCTTTTTCTTGAAACTTTTTAAAGGTAACTCCAGCTCTTGACTTCATTTAACACTTCTAACATTTTGAGGGGATTAAGGAGCTGCCCTGCCAAGCTGAAAGCACCTGGTTCAAATCCACCTGTTGCTCTCCTCTGCCTCCACGGTACACAAAACCTAAAATGAATTTAAGGTGCAAGGCCTACACAAGTCTATTTTATTTCACAGATCTTTACATAGTTCATAGGCCCCTCTTCCTGTCAGTGGTGGCTTGCATGATGCCCCCATGACGGGAACCCTCCCACACGGCCTCTCCATAGGAAATGACTCATAGTTGACCCTCCAGTGGGTTTTCAAAAGGCTGTAAAGTGCATGGGAGGAGATTGTCCATCTTTCACCTGTGAAACTGCTGGTGGGTTTGAATCGCCAGAGAGGCACCTCCTGTGGGTTAGTACGGCTAAGTCCCCTTGTTAGAAACCATGCCAGTGATATTTAAAATAGCCGGGTCACCCAGTGGTCAGAACTCCAGAGCACTAAGACGACGAAGGAGGGAGGAGAGGGGCACCATCCACTTCTGAAATCATGGACCCTTGGGAACTCTGTGAACAGCAGCCACATGGAACACGTGATACCATGCGCAAAGATGGGCCCTCGTGTTGAAAGGCATCAGATACCAGACTTGGAGATGACAACGGGGCAGCATTCATTCTATATTAGCTCCCTGACAACCTGGACAAGTGTCCTGTGTAGGGCTTTATAAACACTGCCTCATTTATTTCTTAGAAATGTTCTATTTGGACCAAATCGGGTAGAATGGCGGAATTTTTGGAGTGGTCTACCTTCGAAGCTGCTTTTCCCTACTCCCCACGGGGAAGGGAGAGGTGGGATGGAGGGCTCTGGAAGCTCAGACCACCTCCTTTCCGTAGCTGATCCGGCCCCGCTCATTCCCAGCACCTGCTTTGGTTCCAGCACGGGCACCGGGCTCTTGGGAGGGCAGCCCGGGACATTCCAATCCGCCCACCACCCTGCGCAGAGGGGGCGCGGGAGGCGGGCGCCAGCGCTCTCCCTTCCCAGCGCTCACCCTTTTGACTCAGCTACTTCTCAGTTCCCAGTGGCCCGAGACACTCGGGAAACTAAAGATTGACGAGGCGTCTGGAGGTCGTGTGCTTAGAGCCTGCCCACTGTGGAGTAGTGACAGCCTCCTTCTGGGCACCGACTACAGGGAGAGCAGACAATTGAAAGCCAAGCAGCTGAGAGATGCCTCCTCGTCACACCAAATATGGTCACAAGAGCTCGGCGGGCCTCCGTGGAAAGGCCGGCCCTGGTGGCCGCCTGCGCAGGGGCGCAGCCGGGCCCATCCTCGGGAGAGCAGCAGCGAGCGCTGCGCTTCGGCGGGGCCCTGGGCGCGGCCTCCAGCGCCGGCCTCCCCGGCCTCGGCTCCGCTCTCGCGTGCCCTCCGACGCCCCCAGCCTTGGTTTCGGTCCACAAGCCCTTGATTAAACAGGCTCAGGCCACTTTCTCTTTGATCCCGCCCCAAGTCCATGGTAAACGCAAAGGAATGCAGCTGTCGGGCTGCGCGGGGACAGGCTGCCCGGCGGCCGGCCGAGTGGGTGGGGGGCACCCAGCTCCCCTTTCCCGCTGTCTCTGCGCGCCTAGGGCGCCCAGGGCCGGGGGAGGAGAAGGAGGAAGAGGAGGGGCGAGCAGGCTCCAGGCTGGCCGCTCATGCATAATTCAACAGCTCCACTTTCGGGCCCGCCTCTTTCCTGGGGCCGGCAGTCAGTTCCAAACTTTGTTTATGGGACAGTCGGGAGCCGCGGCAGCCGCGCTGTCTGCTTCTCGTCCGCTCGCCTCTCGCCTGAGCGTGAGCCCCTGAGGCCGGCCCGGGGGATGTAAGAGCCGCCGTCGGGGTTCGTCCATTGGGCCGGCTCCCGCTCCGCGAGCTCGGTTCCCGCCCGAGCCACCTCGGCAGGACTGTGACCTCGGCTGGACGGGCTCCCGGCTCGCCTTTGCCGCGCGCCCAGGTACTGCTCGGAGCGCGCCGGGCCGCTGCAGGCCGGGAGCCGGGCGGGGTCCCAGGGCCACTCGGGTGGGGACCCGCTGGGAGGCTGCTGTCCGAGCCACCCTAGCAGGACCTCAGCTAGACGGGCTCTTGGCTCATCTTCGCCGCGCGCCCAGGTGGTGCTCGGAGTGCGCCGGGCCGCTGGCAGGCCTGGAGCCGGGCGGGGTCCCACGGCCACTCTGTGGTGACACCGCTGCGAGGTTGCTGTCCTGGGGAGCTGTGACCTCTGCTTGGCAGCCCGAGAAGCCCTTTCCGCAGCCCCCGTGCCCCCGCCCCTCCCCCTCCTCTTCCTCTTCCTCCTCCTCCTCCTCCTCCTCCTCCTCCTCCTCCCTGGAACCTCTTCGCTTTTGGAAAGTTGCATAATTCTGCCGGCGAGGGACCCTCCCCCACCCGCTGGTACTAATACCGGGCGTGTGCGGCCGGCACCTCGCGCTGCTCGCTCCTGCCTTTCCTTCTCCCTTGCCAACTCTGAGCCAACTTGTCCTTGTTGCCCGCAGAAGATGAACCCCGCTCCAGGGTCCCCTCCACCCCCGCCGCCCGGGCAGCAAGTGATCCACGTCACTCAGGACCTCCTCACCGACCTCGATGCCCTCTTCGACTCGGCCACCAACCCCAAGCCCAGCTCCTGGAGGAAGAAGATCCTGCCAGAGTCCTTCTTCAAGGAGCCCGACTCCGGCTCCCACTCGCGCCAGTCGAGCACCGACTCGTCGGGCGGCCACCCAGGACCGCGGCTGGCTGGCGGCGCCCAGCATGTCCGCTCGCACTCGTCGCCCGCTTCCCTGCAGCTGGGCACCGGGGCATCGACGGTACACGGCCCCGCGGGCAGCGCCGCGCAGCAGCACGCGCACCTCCGCCAGCAGTCCTACGACGTGACCGACGAGCTGCCGCTGCCTCCTGGCTGGGAGATGACCTTCACACCCACGGGCCAGAGGTACTTCCTCAAGTAAGTCAGTTTGGCGAGGGGCAGCGCATTGCGCTGGCCCAGGGCGCACTCCTGGGTGTGTGCGGGCGCGGGGTGCTTACCTTTCCCTCTAGGATCTGGAAAACAGTGGGTGTGAGAATCCAGGGAGGTTGAAATGTCCGGCATCAGAAGCAAGGAGTTTCTGCTGAGGGCCATTCAGAGACCTGGAGGTCTTTAGAGCTAGGGGGCTTGGGCACTCCTGATCCCAAGTAACAGCCGTGAGCGAGTAAATGGACTCATCCAGGGGAGACAGTCGCACGGAGGGCCCAGCACGTACGTGCTCGGCCACTGCAGCTCCCTGGAGTCAAACTGACCCTTAGCTCACCCTCCAGCGGGTTTTCTTGGAAACAAGCAAAGAGATTCCCCATTCTTCTCCCTCTAGTGGACTCGAACCACGTGCGTTGGGGATTGCAGTGCAGCTTCTTGCCACTAGGCCGCTCGAGCTTCCCAGTGAAGCTCCTGGAAGTCAGGGAAACAAGCTTTGGAGGGTTTGAGGGACTTTGTCACTGCATTTGGATGATGAAGCCTCCAATTTCGACCCCAAGTTAAATACCCCAGTGTCGATGTTACAACTCTCCAGCGATTCGTTGGAATCCACCCGCAACTCCCTCGGACACCAGTGGTGGGTCCACAGCGAATGGTGGCGACTTGACAGCATCGTGCAAGTTTGAGAGATGCGCTAGAACCAGGCCTTTTGGACAGTGTGTGGGAGGACAGAGATTTCCCACCGAATAGGTTGGTCTGCAGGGCTCTAGTGTATAAGGAAGAGCTGGAACCTGGAACAGAAGCTAGAAACTGTAAGGGAGAGATTGGGCCCAGGTGCATTGGGAGCTGACCCCAAGGTGATGCCTCTGGAGGTTCGAGTCCCCTGGAGAACGATTAACTGCCTCCTGTGAGGTTTACAACCTCCGGAGCCCAAAGGCAGTCCCGCCTTGGGAGTTGAGTGCATGGGAGCCTCTCTAGAGCCCAGAGTCACTAAACCAAGATGTAATTAGGGAGGAACGAGCCTCTGCATAGAACAGGTAGTCTTGCAGCTTCTCGGGAAGCTGAGGTTGAGTAGAGCCTCAAACCCCTCAGGGAGCTCAAGTGGCCTAGTGGTAAGAAGCTGCACTGCAATCCCAAAGGCAAGGGCTTTCAGTCCGCCCTCTGCTCCAGGGGAAGGCTGGACAGTCTCCTCTTGTGTGCTTTACTGGAAAACTCGCCTGAGGGTCAGCAATGGATGGTTTCCATCTCAACAGCTCACAACAACTGTTAAGAACAAGATGAGGCAGTTTAGTTAGTTGTGGGCTGGACAAATCGATTATGGCCCAGGTGGGTCAGAAGTTTTAATACTGTGCACTTGGTAGAAGGAGCCAGCATCGAACTGCTGACTGAAGTGCGTGATTCAAGCCCACCTTACCTTAGTGGGAGAAAGGTGAGGCTGCGTCTGCTTCTGAAATCCTATCAGGGAGCGCTGGTGGAGTAGTCTGTTGGAGTTGAGCTCGTAAGCTGATGTCTACACCTCTTTGTGGTTAAAATCTACCAGTATCTCAGTGTCAGTAAGATGGACATTCTCCTCACTGAACTTCATAGCCTCCAAAGCCCACTGGAAGGTCAGCCTGAGTCACTTCCAGCTTGATCATGGCTAGTGTGAGCGAAACCCTGCTGGGCAGCCCTTCTCAAAATGACTTGGAAACATCCTGAGGACAACAGATTTGGGCACTTGCTGGGTTAAAATATCATCCAGTTGGGCTGCATAGCATCCAGTCAGGCTACCTGCTTCCTCACCCATCTTTCTGTTCACGGTGGTTAAAGATTTTCAGTGAAATGGATGTTACACTGAATTGGGGTTTAGAATTCTGCTGTCTAGAAAACAGATTAAAAAGTATTGGAGGAGGTGGATATTTCCAGTCCTGAGGAAAAATGAAATTGCAAGGTAAAATGTAACCAGTGAGGTCTTAGGGGGTCAGACTTCCAAAGGCATCGAGGGAAGTTGGTTCATGGCTGGCCCAATGGCACGCTATGCCAGGAAGTGGCACCTGAGAACTTACCTTAGAGTTTGCAGTAAAGCCCATGGTTCTTCAGTAGAGTCACCGCTACTGAAGCGTTTAGCCAACGTTAAATTTAAAAATGTGATCAAACCAATACTTTGACCATTTTATGATGATTCTAATAAGGAAAACAGCGGTGGTTAAAGTGCATTAAGGCCAAGTCTTTGCCTCAGTACTAATGACCAGTTCTTACTTGACTGTTCCCAAGATGTTGACGTCTTGTACAAGGAGGAATTCTCTATTTTGCTTCTGTTGTTGGTCTGATACCAAGAACATTTGTCTTAAAACAGATTTATTGGTTGTTTTATTCTACAGCTGGTGGTCTGTTGCTTATTGAGCAGTAGTTTGGATATGCTCTCTGTGCTTTGACTTGTAGATAGATGGCTGGTGGAAGAAAAGGCCGAGACTTAATAGCATGAACCTTCTAAATGTGATGGCTTTGTTGCTCGAAAAGAAGACATTATTTACAACAGTATCTAACCCCAAACCAAATCCATTGCTGTAAGTTAGTTATGACTCGGCAAACCCGTAGGATGGAGTAGATTGGCTGACTAGGGTTTCCACGTCTGTAAATCTTTTGGAGGTGGATTATTACATCTTCCTCCTGTGAGTAGGCTGGTAAGTTCGAACTATTGATGTTTTGGTGAGCAGCTGACCACTTAACTGCTGTGCTAGCAGGGCTCCTTAATATTGTACATGAAGTGTGAAAACATCAAACACCATGGTTTATGTTTATTTAGGTAAATACAGTTTTGAGTACTTTATTGCGAACTGAGTTTGGGAATCAATCAATTTAAAAAGCAGAAAAAGTGGAGTAATTTTCTGTAGTTTTGGGGATCCTTTTCTTGTACCATCCTCATCTTCTCTGCTATATTTGAGTCCATTGCTACAGACACTGTGTCAACTCATCACATTGTGGATTCAGTATAGTTGCTATAAATATTAAAAATACATACAATAAGAGCTGGTCTGGCTGAGTATCAGAGGAAATCTAGAGAAAAAAAAAAACCCTAAACCCAATCAAAATTAAATAACAACCCCTTCCCCCCAAAAAAGAAAAAAATAAATCTATATGTTTTGGGTGATTGGAGTAGTTTGGACTGTTGGTGAAACTTAGAAATTAGAATTGGGTTTAGAGAAAGTAGTGAACTCTTTGGACCCATTTCTTCAGCCATAAGCATTGCTTAGATCAAAACAGCATGCCTCCATTTCAGTTTGAATAGTAAATGAGGATGAAAGCTGATAAAAACTACTACTGAGTAGTAGTAGCTCAGCTGATGCTGTCCTTGGAAATTTGGGGCCAGTGGTCAAGAGAATAAAGAAATTAAGTCATCATGACTATTGTCTTTCAGGATAAGCAATCTGCCAGAGTTTTGTGAGTGCTTTGTTTGTTTATACTGGGATTAAGGTAAATGTTTATGTTGCACTTTGTTCCATAATCTCAAAAGATAGTGCATTTTGGTGGACTATGAAGCTTCAACTGACCCTGAGTTAATTGTCATGAAATCTACTCATTATTTTGCTCCATCATCTGTGTAATGGGGCTAGCACTTACTTCTTTGTTCTTAATTCTGTTCTTAATTCTTTGGAGGAGTAGAAGGCTTTAAAACCAGAAATCAAAGATTTATTAAAGAGTGGCATCCACTTCCATAACAGCTTGCCTCTGGAAACCCTATGAACCTGGAGGGAGGATGAAAGGCCCCCAAGCGTCGAGGATTCTTCTTCACAGGATCGCTATGAGTCGCCTGCGACTCGATGGCACTTAACAACAACAACAACATATCTAATTTAAAATATTAACTAGAAAACTGAGTCCAGGAGAGGGAAATGATATGGCTTTGGGAGGGTCACATGGTTATTTTCGGTGAACCTTGCACTGAACCTCTGATCTTTTGTTCCTTACTTACAGAGAAGTTGTTGGCCCCCATCTTCAACTCCACGCTATTTCCCCAGTTGAGTAATCAGCTTTATGGGAAATGCAGCTTTGACATTTAAAAACCTTTAAAAACTTTTTTTCATTTTATCAGTTAAGATAGTTCTGTATATTTGATCTGATGACTTTCCTATACCTCTCTCTTAAATGGTCAGGCATTCCTTTAAGGGAACAGGTAACAGCAGAGAAGTCCATTGGTTTCATGCTTACACGTGACCACTTAAAATTGCTGTAATATTCTCATTTTCTTTCTAAAGCTCTTGAATCAGGCTGGGGTGCAGAGGTGTGTGGTCCACCCTGTACTCCTGGAGACATAAAACACTGATGAGAAACAATGATCATGTTAGTTTGTGTACAAATTTCTGATTATATATGAAATTCATTGTACACACATTGGAAAAAAATGAAAAAAACATCAAGAAGAGCAAGCCTCAGTGAGTTAAGAAGATCTTTCCCATTTTACTCTTTCCTGCAAACATTCTTGTAGAAAAATATTCTTTTGGATAGTAAGTCTATAAGGGAAAACATTACTCCAGTTGTAACTACAATTCCAACTATAACATTCTATAACATTTGGCTACAACTCTCCATTTCTTGTATTGATTTTAGTGTTTTGCCTTTTCTGAAATGTGTGGCACACATTTTGGAAAGTGATCTATGCACTTGGTAACAAATCAAATAGTACAGAAGGACTTTTGTTGAGAAACAATGGTTTCCTTCACCACCTCAGGGCTCACAGAGGAAACTTTTAATTTCTTTTTTAACTGTTTCTGTATTTAATTCTCAGACTGTTACTTCTTTAAGTAATATAGACTTACTACTCCTTTTGCTTTAAATAAGATTTTATTGTGCTTTCGGTGAAAGTTTACACAACAAATTAGATTCCTCTTTAGCAATTACTATACAAATTGTCTGATGACATTAGTTACATGGCCTAGAACGATAGTTTGGGAATGCAGTTGAAAGCCAGTATTAAAATTTAAAATAGGGCCTAAGGTAAATCATTCTGGTTTGGTTTT